AATTAAAAGCAAACTCAATAAAATTATAGAAATGAATAATTTTGTTTTCCCTTATATATTATAATTTTCGTCATGTAGTTACTCTTTTGTGCTCGGATTATTAGTTCCATTTCCTTCTTCTGTCCCAGAATTTCAATTCGCAGCGTGAGGACAGCGTATTCCGCTTTCTCGCTTTCATCTCCTTCAATCGAACTTCTCTTAAGTCGCTTCCCCTTCGAAACTCCAGAGTCCAGACTCGTCGTTCCCTTCGAAATTCCAGACCCGCCGTTCTCCTTCAACTGCTGTTCGGTGATTCCTCCTTCGCCGTTCCCCTTCGATCTTTCATAGCTCCAGTCGCCGTTCTCCCTCGTTCGTGCTCGTCCTTCTTGTTCGAAGCTCTAGTCGCTGTTCTCCTTCATTGGTGCTTGTCCTTCAGGTTCGAAACTCCACTCTCCGTTTATAGTTTCTGGTTTGCACCATAGTTTCTGGAAAATGTTGCCCTTGGAAGTTTTACATAGAGAAGCAATGATGGGTGCTCCAGTAAATTTTAAACTATGCAACCACATTGAAAACTCTAACAAATTTTGGGACCAATTTAGTAATTCTCCTTATTATAAAATTCATGGAGTTTTAAAGTTAATCTAGGCTATCTGCATTTTATGTGCAGGTCAATGTTGCTTATAGATATCTCAATAGGTTTGCCCTTTTGTTGGTGTTGAGGTAATAGGAATTTGTGTGTTAATGCGTCCTAGGACGACTGCATTGTCGCTATTTCTTTTTGCCACAACTGCATTGTTGCAATTTGGCAGTTATGATTGAAATGGAGGGTCCTCCTTCCATTGATTTTTGTTCAGTGTGCCACGGAGACTGCAACACTCCTTGCCAAGCGTGTGCAGAATTCCCTCATCTCTTGTGCCAATTCTCTAAACTTCTATTGAAACTCATAGTTGAGCTGCTTTTGATGCTTCAGCTCTCCTCCAAAGAATCTACTTGTTGGCTTTGATACCATTTAATGCATGGTAAAAGCCTAGAAAATCATGTAAAATCAGCTCTCCTCCAAATTCATTATTACTTATTTCAAATCCCTACTCCCCTAATTATACGATAGAGGTGTGTTTCAACTTTCAAATACCGTAACTTTTCCATTATCCTAATTTCCTAACTGCTTCTCCCCTTCTTGATTCCCATGTAGCAAATGTTGATATGATTTATGCTTATATTTGAAATAAAAAACATTAGAAAGTAAAATTGGTTGATAGTTTTGACTTAATCATGTTCCTAAACAGGTGGAGCTGTCATTCTCTGCTTCAATTCATGTGATAGAAAGTGCAGCATGTACATTAGGAGAAAATTGCAGTCTATGATTGTGCTCAGCGAGTTGTCTTTTTAAGATTGTAATTGAAAATCAGAGTAAGATTTTCAAAATTTTTGAAGTTGGAAGGGAACATTTGTTTTCATTTCTTAGTGCACCAACTTCCTGGCCATGTCTCCCTTTATGAGCTTAAGTGCTTACATAACTTCTAAACCAGAGTTTTAGCAGCCTTTATCAAGCATGAGGTTGCTTTTTTATTTAGAAGGATGCTTCCTTCATCATACTCAAAGATACTTAAGTTTGGTTTATTTGCCTTTCCTAATACTAGTGTTCATAACTCTCTATCCTCTGCTTCATTTAAAACCCTGATACATCACATCACAACGGCCTTTCAGCAAGAAAATCTCAAGCTTTTAAGTCCTGCTGTAGTTTCTAAATTAAAACCCTGCCATGTTCAACCCATCCTAGTTAACCTTCAATCAAAACCCAATTCTGCCCTTTTGTTCTTTGAGTGGTCTGAGAAACTTCTGGGTTGGCATCATTCTCCAAAGGCTCTATATGGTCTCCTTCACATCTTGCTTCAGCATAAAATGTTTGGGTCTGCTAGACAGGTTTGTGACCAAATGGTCCAACAATATAAGAATTTCAACTGTTTTGACTGGATTCATGGTGAGTTTTGGTTTCATGGTTCAAAATTTGGTCCTGTCTATGGCATCGTAATGGAAAGTCTATGTCGAAATGGGATGCTTGACCAATCAATAGAGCTATTAAACTATACATGGAGATCAGGAATGACAGTACCACTTTCATCATTAATGATATTTTTGAGATCTTTGATTAATTCAAATTATATTGAAGGGATTCTTGTTAGCTTTGAAGAAATATGCAAATTATTGAAGGTTCAACCTTGTTATCTGTATCAGTTTGTTATTGATGAATTTTTTCAAAAGGAAGTAGAAATAGCTCTCAGTTTCCATCAAAAAGTGATTGATCGAGGCTTCTTGTGCAATGTTGTTCCTTGCAATAGGATCTTGAAATGCCTTTGCAGGGAGAATCAGCTTGACGTTGCCATTAAGCTTTTTCATCTTATGTTAGTTATTGGTCCAAAGCCAAATGTAGTGACATTTAGTTTGCTGGTTAATGCTTATTGTAAGGAGATGAAATTCGAAGAAGCTTTCAAGCTTTACAAGCTGATGACAGAGAAGGGTATAGATCCTGACTTGATAATAAACAGTATTCTCATTCATGGTCTGTTCCGGGCAGGGAAGTTGAAGGAAGGACATGAGCTTTTCTTGGTGGCCTTAAATAGAGGCAGTAAGTTGGATGTTGTGATATTCAGCTCCATTATGGATGCATATGTGAGAACTGGAGATTTCATAAAAGTTACTGAGTTCTATAGAATAATGATAAAAGAGGGTATTCAGCCAAATGTTATTGTTTACAGCATTCTTATTAGGGGGCTGTGTCAAAGTGAGAAAATTTCAGATGCTTGTGGAGTATTTTGTCAAATCTTGAAGCAAGGTTTTGAGCCTTCAGTTCTAACTTATACTACTTTGATTGATGGATTCCTTAAATCAGGGAGATTTAGAGATGGCTGGTCTATTTACAAGACTATGGTAGTGGAGGGTTATGAACCAGATATCATTGTATACAGCACATTAATAAATGGTCTTTGCAATAATGGTATGATAAATGATGCACTTCAGCTCTTGTTCCATGCAGTGAGTAAGGGATTGCAACCCAACAATTATACATTTAACGCATTAATGGATGGTTGGTGTAGAATAGGTAGATTGAGAGATGCAATGAAGGTGTACAGCCTGATGGGCACATATAATATATGCCCTGATGTGATAACTCACACTGTGCTTATTAGAGGACTTTTTGGATTAGGGAGATTAAATGAAGCATTGATTCTTTTCTTCCAATCATTGAAGAGGGGCTTGCTACTAGATGTTGTGACATATTGCATCCTTATTGATGGTTTTTGCAAGAAACAAATCACATCTAGAGGATTGCAAATTTTTCAGATAATGCTAATGAATGGGTTGATTCCTGACATTTCTGTATATAATGCTCTTCTAAATGGTTTTCTCAAGGAAAACAGTCTACAAGCTGCTGATATACTGTTTAGTAATCTAAATGAAAGGGGGCCAGAACCTGATATAGTAACCTATAATACAATGATTTGTGGGTATTGCTCTTCAAAGAGATTGGATGAGGGAACTAAACTTTTCAGAAGGTTGTTGTTAGGGCAACATAAGCCCAATGCCATCACTTATACAATACTGATTGATGCCTTATGCAAAGAAGGTCGGACGGAAGATGCAATTCTGATGTTTGAGAATATGTTGAAAGATGGTCCCATGCCTAATGTGGTAACATATAGCTCCTTAATGGATGGCTACTTTAAGTCCGAAAGCATGAATGATGCTTTTGAGCTTCATGAGGAGATCCTTCGAAACCTTTCTCCAAACATCATTAGTTACAGCATCCTCATTGATGGCCTTTGCAAAAGAGGACTACTGGAAGAAGCTTTACTTGCCTTTCATTGCGCTAAAGATAGGTGTTTAGTACCAGACATCATTGCCTATAGTATTCTGATTTATGGTTACTGCAAGGTTGGGAAATTAGGACAAGCAGTGATGTTATGTAAGGATATGCTGATGCATGGTATCATGCCAGATGATTTTATTAAAGCTAACATTGCAAAGTATTGCTATTCATTGATCAACGATGATGCTTGATGGGAATGTCAGGAATTTGGAGATATATTTTATCTGGGAGTTTGCTAATTGATATTTAGCCTAGCTATTCAGCTGTCTCAGTTTACATCATATTCATAGGTAATAGTTATTCTTTCAATTACACATTTAAGTTTCATGTTGCATGCTAAATCATAGGAAGCATAGGTAGGCAGTAGGCTAAGCAAAAATTCATAACGTGAATCTTTGTTATCAACATGATGTCTAGAGTTACAACAGCAAGGTTGTTAATCAACAACTAGCAAAGCCTAATTAGTAAGTTTATTCAGATGTTGGCATTTTGCCATGTCTTTATGTTGTCCATTGCAAATTTTAATTGTATTTTATTGGATGTTGACTTAATGTGTAAATAGATTTTGGTAGAGATGAAAAATCCCCTCTGTAATTGCAGATACCTATTTTATCTCGGAGCTTGCTAATTTATATTAGGCTGGTTCTGATGACTATTCAGTTGCCTCAGCCTGCATCATAGGTAATAGTTATTTTTTCAACTACAAATTCGAGTTACTTGTTGCATGCTTAGGCAAGCAAAATTCACAATATGAATCTTTGTTATCAACATGATGACTAGAATTGCAACAGAAGGCTGTTAATCATCAACTAGCAAAACCTGATCAGTAAGCTTAGATGTTGGCATTCTGCAATTCCTCCTTTTTTTGGTTCTTGTCCATTTCAAGTAATGACAGATTTTACTTGTATTTTATTGAATGCTGACTATCTATTTAATGAAAAATATCCTGGTAGTGATAAAAGTTCCCTTTTAATTGCAGATACCTATCATCAGATGGCTCAATTAGCGCATTGCTAAAATGATGTAAATCTGCATATGATTTATGGAATGCTCAATCAGCAGGAAACTGTTTTGCCGTTTCAGGTAATATTGCTCATAATATTTGAGGTTGAAATTGACGTAGGTTTTTATTATTTTCTGAAAAAATTACTTTACTCTTCCTGCACGTTGAGGAGTCTTGATTTGTTCTTAGTGATTTATATTTTCAAGAGATGCAAGGATGGGGATTTTATCTGCTCCAAGATGAAGATATGTTATTTCATTACTTATTTATCCTTTTCTACTTTTATTTAAATATATTTCCTTTTTTTTTTTAATCTTGATACTCACTATTCATATCTAAAATTGAACTTATAGGAATTTCGAATAATAGATTTTTAGTCACAAAGTCTCTTGAATGCGCGCAAAACATGGGCAAAATTTGTAGGATGCAGCTTAAGGTGCTGAATAAGGGATCCCAAAAAGGAGATAGTACTGTATACTTGTGACTGAATTAACTCATTAAGAGGGCAAAAAATAAATACAAAACAGAATGGAGATATTAGACAGACCTAAAATGTGAAACTGGCCATTGGCGAGGCATTGGAAATAGGCTAGGGATGTGACATAAATGTTTCACTAAGAATGCTAATTATCAAAAGTTCTCAAGTTGGGGAGTATATTTTAATTATCCCTTGCTTGCATCCAACTTCTTAATTTTGTCATGATTCATGAATAGAGTCTTCGTTAACTGTTGAAAGTTGCTGAACAAAGCAGGGGTTTTGGGTCATTTATGCAATTTATCTTTTTTTAATTCCTTTTATTATTTTATTCAGTCCAGGACTTAGGCGCTACCTTCTGTTATGATTTTACAAGATTAAACCTAGATTGGATTCTCCCAGATACCGGGCTATGCCGGGCAGGCATGTTGCCTAAGTATTTCTCTATTTAACCTAATGAATAATGAGAGAACAGTATGAATCGGAGCCATGGCTTCTCATCTGCATTCTCTCCTTCTATTTGGCCAATTCCAAGTCCTAGCCTCTAAAACTTCAATTGGCTCATTCTTATTGCTATCTAACCCTGCAAATGAATGTGTCTCGATATGGTGACCTCTTCATTAGGAATAATTTGTCCTAACCTTCTTGGATAAATATCACGTTAATGGCCTTAGGCAAGACATACAACGGGAATTTAGAGTAAGCTACCTTGAGAACATTAAAGAAGCTTATCATCAATCGATAGAAATAGGTTCAGTAACTAGGTATCCCTCTGTTATTGCTCTGGTACCATGTAGGTTTCATAACATTTATTCCATAAATTGAAGAGTACAACACAGAACTATATATCCTAGTTCTGGAAACCCTAAAATGATCAAACAGATTGACTAAGATAAGATAAAACAATCTAATAAATCTAATCTATTCTAATCCCGTATAATTAGTTATATAATAGAAAAATATAAAAAGTAAATAGGACTTGAATATTTTGAATAAAACTGAAATAAATATCTGAATATTGGAAGATGCCATCCAACAATTTGAAAAACCTGGAAGTCCCGTTAAAAAAGAAAGATATCAAAGTGGGCAAACTAATCTATCTTTCCCATGCCGGACCTGATATTGTATTCCTGTGGTAAGCCAACACATGAATAACCTGCATGAACAACACTTAGCGGCAGTTTAAAATATACTTAGATACTTGAAATTTGCACCGGGTAAATGTTTGTACTTTAGAAAATCCACTGAAAGGGGAATACAATTTTACTCTTATGCAGATTGTTAAGGCTCTTAAGAGGATAGTTGCTCTACCACTGGTTATCTTGTAGCAATATTGAATCAGAATTATGGGCACTAGCATTAGGTATTTGTGAAGGCCTAGGGCTGGATAGACTGTTTAAGGGACTGAAATTAAAGTCTGAAGGGCAACTGAAGTTGTTCCGTGATATGTCTACTATTAAGATTGTAAAGAACCTTGTTTATCATGATAGAACTAAACATGTGATGATAGATCGTCATTTCATTAAAGAAAAGATTGAGTTCGATCAAGTAGAGTTGATTCACATGTTTTCCAAACAATGTACAGCAGATGTACTCACTAAAGCGATTCAAAATCTAAGATTTGATGAATTGTGTCTAGATGGGCTTGTTTAACATATATTCCCCTTTTTAGGTCATTTATTCACTTTATTTATCGGATTTTTATTCCTTTTATTATTTTATTTAGTCTAGGACTCGTAGTATGTACGCACCTAATGAATAATGAGAGAACAGTATAGCTGATCAATATAGAGGTCGGAAACTTCATTAACACTTCAACAACTAGCTAGAGTGTCAGTCAAGGTATATGATAGTTCAAGGACACTATAATGTGCCTTTTATTTGATGAAATGATGACCAATTTCCACATATATTGTTTAATCATATTGGACTGGATGTTTGCAATATTGATTGTCAAGGTTGCCACTCAAGATCTTCATAGGACCTTTTCACTGAATTTTAAGTTCACTCAACAAGACAAAATTACAAATTTGGGGACAAAGTTGCACAATCTTGGAAGTTTTCAAATAATGACTATTTTTTTCAAATTTAATCATTAAGATTTGTTTCCCTATTAAAAATGGGAAAATGAGTTGCAAATTCAACAAGTCAATATTGTAAATTTGAGAGGCAAAGTTGAAAAATATCAAAACATCAAATTTAGGAGACAATGAAAATCTGCTGATGTGCACACTGAAGCTCTATCCAAGGCTTAGTTTGAAGACTTAACAAGCAAGCTACGACTGATGGATATCTATTCTCCAGCTTGAGGGGAAGTGTTGGAGGATGCCGATGGCCCAAGCCCATATCTGAATGGGATCTGCTCTCATTTAATTGCATTTAGTTGTATCTTTATTTTTATTCACATTTCAAAGTTAGGATCAGATCTTAGAATTAATTAGTTTTGATCTTCTTTAGTTTGTATTTCAGATCTGATCATGTATGACTCTCTCAACAGATTTGGTCATATCTGGTTATTTCCCTAGCCTTAGTTTCCTATATGTATCTGTGCATACTCTAAATAAAAAATCTGAAGCTGCATTATCAATTGCTCAGCCGATTTCTTCAAAAACTTGTCTTCCTTGTGAGAGAGAAATCAAACAATAGAGAGAGAGAGAGAGAATGAGCCAGAATAAAGGAATGAGATGGAGAAGGGGGAGCAGTTGAGAGAATGGGGAGTTGAGAAGGTGAGGTTGATAAAGTGAAAACAAGTGGGAAGAAAGTGAGATGGAGAGAAAAAGATGGATAGAAGAGAAGAGGTGATATTGAGAGGCTGAGTGGCATGGCAAAGGTAAAAGAGATCAAAGAAGTGGCGCCTTAGAAGAAGTATCCACTTCTACTTAAGTTGGATACTGGGTTCATTCGTTTTGTTTTGATGGGATATGCTTAATATGGAACCTTGATTCTCATACCTTTGCTTTTGATGGGTCCAATACTGAGTTCATTGGCCAAGTTTATAAGAGGAGGAGGCCTAGTGAGAAGTCTAAAACCTAGAATGGAGAAGTCAGCCTGATTTAAAAGGCTAGAGCTAACCCACAGCCTAATAACCCTGTTGAGGGCAATGAGTGGCAGTTTTCTGGGGTCGAGTACCCCAGTGTTAGGCATCCAATGGAATTGTGGTGACTTGGGATCAAGATGCTCAAAATTGGACCAGTAATTGAATTGGTTAAGCATTGGTTCAAGAGTTAATAATCAAAACTATAGTAAACTTGTCAAGTCACTGGTTTTAATGGTTTGTTGGTTCAATAGGGCAGATTGACCTGAATTTCCATACTATGCTTGGAAGAGCCCTTGACCTCTCAAACATCAGTGAAGTTTACTCTATTCTGCAATGTTTTTCTTTTTTTTTCCTGCTTAAACTACTGTAACTGGCACTAGTTGGCTATAATTATCCCTTTTTCCTCTTATTTTTTGCATTGAAGAGGTTGCAACTGGTTGTTCTGGTACTATTTGAATATATAAGTTTTTAAGGTTCCATCAACTTGTGCTTGTGCACACGTCTTTTCTTTTGTTCTTTTTTCAACTAAAAGTTTGCTTTGATCTGTTGATCAATGTTTGATTTGAGTTGATTAGGTTTCGTTGCCACCTTCTCCTAAAGATGGCCTGAAGGGATGTTCATTGCATTATTTGTTGGACTGGCTGAGTGCTTGACCTCACAACCTCATTAGTTGACTGATGGTTGATTTCCTGAAGTGGTTTGCTTTAATATGTGTTTTGCTTTGGCATGTTGTCACTGTCCTGATTGCCTTCCATCACTGAGGAAAACTATATTTCCCAATTTTACAAACCCATCAGTTATAATGGCATATCCATAAAATCATATTCCATGGAAAGGTTTCTATTAAAATGATTTTGATTATATATTCATTGTTTACTAATTTTTTTTATATAGTTTATTATTATTTCTTTTGCTAATTTTATACAAATAGTGAATTTCATGAAGTTTTTCACTAAATCTGATTTAGTCAAAGATTATCAACTATGATAAAATATTAGCGTGTTACATTTTGGTATCATAAGTATTTGACACTGGTATTTGAGATGGGTGCATGGAGAGAAGGAGGGAGAGAAGGAGAAGTTTGTGCCTTATTGTGGTGAAGGTGCCTAGGAAGTTGAGGAAGAATTTGAAAGTTTGTGCAGAGCACGTGACCTCTTAAAGAGACTGTAGGGTCAATTTCTTTCTTTTCTTGTCCTTTTACTCCATAGTCATCTGGGTATTCCTTTACTTTTTACCTGATATAGGAGAGTAAGTGGCAGGTAGTCCAATTACATATAAATAAAATTAGAGTTTTGAAGTTTCCATCACATTCCTTTTGATTCATAGTGTTCAGGGTAAGGAAATTGAGGAAGGACATGGTCACATGGGCTTCCCTCAATGGCACCAAATGGCATAATATATTCTTACCACAAAAAAGCAAAAAAGAAGCAAGTTGAATGTGTTGATGCGTGCTTTAGATTCACTTTTCTAGGCTTTGGTTCTTGTTTATTTTCCTTGTTTAATGATTGTGTAAGTGCTGGCTCAGAAATTGGGTTTCGATTTTCAGAATATGCGCTAAAAGATCTTGAAACTGCCAAAGGGCTAGGGAAGTTAGACTATTTCACACTTGTGGTTGTTGTACATAAGGTTATATAAATGGTGAGGATCGTATCTCTTTGTTGGTTTTCGGTTGTACATTGTTTGTTACATAAGGTCTTAGTTTTCATTTAGAAGTTTCATATGACTTGAAGTTAATCCTTTGTTTGCTCATTTTGTTGGGCAGAGTATTATTACTTTTTGGTCTTCTACTGTGGAATTGGATGTTTGGAGATTTCTAAAAAGGCATCGACATGCAGGCAGCTTGTGCTCGTCCTCTCTCTTGTATGTGTTGTCAATCTCTTACACTAAGAAATTTATGTTCTCCATCAACTTCTTCACGCCTTGTAGCAACTAGAAACTTTCAGCATAGAGAACAATGTCAAGGCCATACAGGATTGTTTGATTTGGATATTCTCATTTCTAAAGCTAGTAAAGGTAGTAGTGAGGATGAAATTTTTCAGTCTCTTGTCAATGACCGAGCATGTGATGCTATAAATGTGTCTCACAATCTAATTGAGGGGTTACTTCATCGATTTAAGGATAATTGGAAGTCCGCATTTGGAATTTTCAAATGGGCTAGTTTGCATTCAGGCTTTAGACACTCACCTGAAACATATGATATGATGGTTGATATATTAGGTAAAATGAAGCAATGGGGTAAGGTAAGAGCTCTCTTAGAAGAAATGAGTCAGAGAAGCCTCATCACTCTCAATACTATAGCTAAGGTAATGAGAAGGTTTGCAGGTGGAGGGCAATGGAAAGATGCTGTCAGGATATTTGATGAAATAGAAACTCTTGGGTTGGATAAAAACATAGAGTCCTTGAACTTGTTATTTGATACCCTCTGCAAAGAGAACAAAGTGGAGCAAGCTCGTGCCGTCTTCCTGAATCTGAAGCAGCACATTTCACCAAATGCTTACACATTCAACATTTTCATTCATGGATGGTGCAAAGTTAGGCGTGTAGATGAAGCACATTGGACAATCCTAGAGATGAAAGGACATGGTTTTCGTCCTAGTGTTATAAGCTACACAACCATCATCCAGTGTTATTGTCGAGAGCAGAATTTTAATAGGGTTTATGAGCTCCTTGATGAAATGCAAGCTCAAGATTGCTCTCCAAATGTGATCACTTTCACAGGCATCATATTTGCGCTGGCAAAGGCAGAAAATTTTGAGGAAGCTTTGCAAATGGCTGAGAGGATGAAGTCTGTTGGATGTAAGCCTGATACACTTTTCTACAATTCCTTGATTTATACACTGGGCAGAGCAGGCAGAGTACATGATGCTATTTATGTATTCAAAGTGGAGATGCAAAATGCTAGTCTTACCCCAAATACATGCACATATAATACAATGATTTCCATGTTTTGTGATCATGCAGAGCAAAGTAAGGCCTTTGAACTACTCAAGGAGATGCAAGATTCTGGCCTTTGTAAGCCTGATACTCAGTCTTACCATCCATTGATCAAATCATGCTTTAAAGCTGGAGTTATAGACAGTTGTTTGAATGATATACTGGATTATATGGTCAATAAACATCGTCTTTGTCTTGATATTTCAACATACACACTCATAATTCATGGACTTTGTAGAGCAGATCAATGTGAGTGGGCTTACTCAATATTTGAGGAGATGATTAATCATGGCTTAGTTCCTAGACACAGAACTTGCCGTTTGCTGCTGGATGAAGTTAAACTGAAAAATATGTATGGAGCTGCTGAGAAAATTGAAGATGTCATGAAGAAACTTTTATGAATTTCACGTTTTTGGAATGGCGATGCTTATCCAAGCATGACTTTTGATGGATTGTTGACGTGCATCATATTACTCATTAAATAAATAAAATTACTTAAAACTAGTTGTCAAAAGAAAGCTGCTTGAGATCATTTAAATTCAGATTAACATCCAATTTTGTTAATGCCTTTAATTATGTATCTAAATGTTAGAATTACAGTGTGTGTGAGCGACTTTTAATTTTCTTCCCCGACAAAGTTAATAAAGAAATTTAATTAAATATGTTATTTATTTTTTTTTTTTAAAGTTAAAGTTCATGTAAACAACTTATACTAGCTACAACACACCTAAACATAAAACTTGTGGAAGCTACCCGGCATCTTTCTAGATCCAAGAAATTTTGGAATTATGCCGAAAGGTGACCAAAGTTCATCTTTATTGTTTTACACTGGATATTGTTGGTGGCGGTTGACCATGGTTGGCAGGAGTTGATAGCCTGTAGCCAGAGTCCTATCCTTGAATTCTTACTTATCCATTCTTAGGTTTCACTAATTTTATAATTTTGATTTGTGTATTAACCTTGACAATGTTCACTTTACTTCGCAACATGAGGAATTGTTGTTTTCCTTCTTTTTTTTTTTTATTAGTTGCTTATTCGATATCCTATCGTTTTATTTGCATCAACTACAAATGTACATGCATCTTTGCAATTTTATTAAATAGGTGGCATCCATAATTTATAATAAATTTTTGTAGGAAAATCTTTCATGAAAAAATAACCATTAATAAAAAAAATTTTTCCTTTTTTTTGGTGAATTATAAAATTACTTTTTCTTACTGTTCTATATTTAGTGGGGATGTTTGAGGATGTTTAGTTATTGTTAATAGTTAATAATATTAATTATGTGCAAGTATAGTATAACAAATAGTACAAACACATGTTGTAAATATGTAGAATGTGAAGTAGATTAGGGAAAATTTAGAATTCTTTAAATATATAGAACGTGAAGTAGATTAGGGAAAATTTAGAATTCTTTAAACCAAAATGTCAAAGACTTTTCTACAAAAAACATTTGAAATTCTATATTTGCACATAAAATTGAAATTCTATCCAAAACTACCCCAAATCAACATCCAAACCTGATTTCCCAAGCATAAAATTGCGAAAAAGACACCTCAAAGCAATGAATAGTAGGAAACACATTGAAGCTAATTCTACTTTTATAAAATAAAAAAATAAATTGATAATTCAATTAAAATCAAGATTAAAAATAATTAAATTCTATTTCAAAAAAAATTTCATAACAAAAAAAATTAAAATAATTAAATAAAATAAATATTCAATCTTAATATCTTTTCTAGTTTATATAAATAAATATTTAAAAAATCAATTCAAAATATCCTAACAATATTTTTAACTGACTGGATTTGAATATTAAAGATTTAAATTTTATATGTATATATATATAGCCTCTTGCTATTGAGGAGGGCTCACTTGGAAAAAAATTACATATAGGAGGATACATGTTTTCATATTTTACAAGTTGCTCCCTCTTTTTTTTATATTTTGCATCCCTTATTTTAATATTTTAAATTTTGAATCCAATTTAATGTTACATTTAGCCCAAATTTGAAATTCAATTTTTTAACTAAGCCTAGTGAATCTTAACCCATAATTTTATCATAACTATATACCAATATTATTTATTAATCTTTCAAAAAATAGAAAAAACTAATTTGATTAAACTAGACCCACATCATCCTCGTCCTAAAAATACTAGTTAGAAAAAAAGGCAATAAAGAATAAAAATTCAAGAACCAAGAGTAAAATCATTGAATGCATTTTGCTAACTCACTACACTTGCAATTTTGTAATTGAAAGTTGAATTAAGAAACAAAAACAAAGAAAAAAAAATTTAATGAATTTTGAAAAGACAACAATGTTTTTCTTGTACTAAAATCCTAACTTTGCCCCCTTTGATCCAAGATCTTAACTTCACCATTGTATATATATTAACTATCCTATTATTATTATTATATATATATATATATATATCTACATATATAAATTATTAAAAAAAATCCAAAGCCGAATCCAAACCAAACTCTGAATCATGGAACCATAAGACTTGGGGTTACTCATGCATTTCAATTTTCATGGGACATTTTAGGAATTACAACCCCAATGTTGGACCTCTATAATTTTCCAAAAAAAAAAAAAACAATGGGTCTGGAGGTGGAGCCTTTGTAATTTACAAACCTAGAAGCTGCACTCCAACTTAGGGGTGAGCATCGATTGATTCGGTTCGGTTCGATCTCAAAATATGCAGAACCGATCAATTGAACAACACTGAAAACAAAAACTGAATCAAACTGAACAAACCAATTGAACCGAATAAGGATCGAACCGAAATTTAATAATTCAGTTCGGTAGGTTAATTCAGTTTTTTGGTTTCATATTGGGCTATTGAAATTGGGCTCATTTTTTAAATATTAAAACAAATAACAAGACAAAATTGAGCCTTTTTTTCTATTCTGTTTTTTTAATATGAGCCCATTCTAATTACATCTATATGACATAAAGTTCAAATACTATAAAGGCATGGATAATTAAATAAACAACCACAAATAAACACTGATGATTAAATAATGGCCCCATAATTCAGTCACAACACCTACTGATAAAAGTGACTAATCGAAATAGGGTCTCAAGTGATGTTATTATTTTTATTCTTTATTAAAATAAAAAATAAAAATAAAATAAAATAATTTATAAATTAAATATAATTTATAAATTAATAAATTATATATAATTCGGTCGGTTTAGTCTATTCGATTTTAAATTTTACCAACCGAATCGAACCGATCAACCGAAATATTTAAAATAAAAAAACTGAATCGAACCGAAAAATCAAATAGACCGAATCAAATAAATAAAATTCGATTCAATTCGATTCGATTTTCGGTTTGGTTTTGCTCACCCTTATTCCGGCTCCCTCTCCCAATCTGCGTAGCTCGCATTCTCAGTCTCAGAGTCAGCGCATAGTAGCGAAACATGGTACTAAGCTCTGTGTCTTCATACTGATGTACCTCTTCCCCTTCTCTCTCTTCATGTTTCGCTTTATCTTTGAACTTATCTTCCTCTTTTGTACAGCCTTTCAAAAGGTACGTCGAGATCGGGAGGGTTGCTCTGATCAACTACGGCAAAGATTATGTGAAGCTAGTGGTCATTGTTGATGTCATCGACCAGAACAGAGTATGTGTTTTTCCAATTCTTTTTTCTGAGTTTTAATCTATTGCAATATTCTTGGATTGCCTGCTTTTTGTTGATTTAAATATGGAAGCATTGATTTGAAATATATTTCCTGGTTAGTGCCATCCAAAATGTGTTTAGCTTTCTACGTAATTACTCTTTGGAGATTTTTTACCCCTTATTTTGTAGGAATATTACGCCCATTGTAACAATAATTGGGGAATATTCAGGTCATTATGAGCTGACCCAAATCAGGGTTATATTATGTGAATATCTTGGTTGATATCTCAGCTAATGGAGCATTTGTCCTCAGATTAATGGTGATGATCCCAATCAGATTATTGTCTGATTAGGACTTCCTTTTCTGGTGAGCGATCCTTGAGCCTATAAATAGAGGCTTGAGGTGAAAACTAAAAGGGCCATTCTCATTCTCGAAATCTCTCTCTCTTTCGGTGTACCTGCTGTGCATTTCAGTTAGGCTCTAGTAGTCTATTTTTGTGTGCGTGGTTGGAAAGACTCTGCAACATCCAACTCCGATAAGATTCTAACCCCGACTCCTTTTCTTTTGGATTCATTTATCTGTATCGTTGAATCCTTCAGTGGCATCAGAGTTTGGTCATTTTTATGACTTCGATGAAGTGAAAATTTGTACAAGCTTGTAATATTGCATCTGGCTGAATGCTCTTTTTTTGTTTCTTCATTTTTTTTTTCTCGACTCTGGTTCTCCATATGGTCGTGGCTATGCTTTTGCAATTTTGTTTTTTTGTTTTTTTTTTTCATTCTTCCACTGCCTTTTATATATATGGAATGGGTTATATATATATATATATACACATACATGTGTTATTCATGCAAAACCACCATTTTCTTCTTCTCCCATTCTTTAAAAAATTTTGATTCTTTCAGATCTGAGCCTATGCATGCTGTGGTTTGTTTCTGGGTTTAAATCCTTTATTTACATGATCATTCGAACCTAAATGACCTTTCAGAAGAGTCCGAACTGCCTCTTGTGAAGCTGTTTAAGAACATGTAGAGGAGCTTTTTTACACAAATTTGGGTCTTTAAAATACTAAGTTTTAGGCTTTGAAATGGGTATGGTTGTGTAGAGGGCGAAGAGACGAATCCAATGAGATTAGAATCATGTTAAATGAAGGTTGGATGAAGGAGATATGGGTAAAAAATGACCATTCCGTCGCTAGATCAGAGCTGGAGACTCAATGTTGTTTTGAGACACCTCGAAAGTGCTGCATTTTACCTGATCCAATCCGGTCCAAGCTAATCGGGTTAGTGTTGACCCCGTTAGCAGTTAACCATTGACCAGGACTGTTGATTGGTCAACGGACTAGAATTTTTTTTCTTTTCCTTTTAATTAATTATTTAGTTAGTTAATTAATTAATAATTATTATATATGTTTTTTTTTTCCTCTCTTTTTCATTTGAGAGGCGCGTGAGGTCTGTATGTAGACCGGATAGTCAATATAAACATATAGTTGGACTTGTAAAGATAAGAGGAATATAACAGTGAGCTGCTTACGGCATTTTTTGGCTCTAACAGCGATGCATGGGATTAATCCCCCTTTTTTTTTTTTTGTATTTTGCATGATTTTTTTTTAATTCAAAATCTTCTGGGAGCACGTGAGGGTGAATAAAATGATCTGTAAATTGCTTGTTTTTTATGCAAGTCTCGTGTTTCAATTTTTTATTGACTTTTTTTTTTCACTATTTTTTCTTTGCAAAATATTAATAAGAACTTTATTAATTAATCAATAACGTCTCTGAAATCTTCATCGTGCTCACCTTTGTCTTATACTTTTAAGAAGGAAGATCTAGAGGAGGATTCCTTTATTGACATTATGAATAGTTCCTTTAAAGAAATAAGGTTTCATCTAAAAAGAAAGTAGAGGCTCCACTTTTTGTAGAAGCAGAGGCTTCATCTCTTATAAAAGCAAAGGCTTTTCATTCTAAGGAAGTAGAGGTTTCGGCTTCAAAACAAGTAGAGACTTCTTTGAATATACATTTTGAAAGTAGAATTGAAGGAAAGTGGCTTTAATCTAATCAGGGGTCTTATGAGGTCCGACATGTGTTAGATGATCAAGAAGTTGATCAACCTTTGACGCCTATTCTGGCTAGAGGAATTGGAGAAAGATATGCAAACAAAACAAGGCATGTTGATGATCAATATTAGAGTCTTTGACATTCCCTTTAGGCGATCAACATGCCTAGTTTTGTCTACATATCCTTTTGCAATTCTTCTAGTCAGAATGAGTGTCAGAAGTTGATCAACTTCTTGATCATTTGACACATGTTGAACCTTATAAGATCCCTGACTAAATTTAAGCCTATTTCCTTCAATTCTACTCTTAGAATATATTTTCAAAGAAGTCTCTACTTGCTTTGAACCTGAAGCCTCTGCTTTTACAAGGGGTGGAGCCTTTGCTTCCCTTTTAGATGAAGTCTTTGCTTCTTTATGAGAACTATTTATAATGTCAATGAATGGACCCTCCTTTAGATCTTTCTCCTCAAAGCTATAAGATAAAGGTGAGTATGAAAGAGATTCTCCTCCTTTAGATCTTTCTCCTCCTTTAGAATATATTTTCAAAGAAGTCTCTACTTGCTTTGAACCTGAAGCCTCTGCTTTTATAAGGGGTGGAGCCTTTGCTTCCCTTTTAGATGAAGTCTCTGCTTCTTTATGAGAACTATTTATAATGTCAATGAACGGACCCTCCTTTAGATCTTTCTCCTCAAAGTTATAAGATAAAGGTGAGTATGAAAGAGATTCTGGAGAATATGATATATTTTTGATTAGTTAATAAAGTCTTTATTAATTTTTTGCGAAGAAAAAACAATGAAAAGATGATCAATAACCAAAAAGAAGAAACACATGAGACTTATATAAAAAACAAGTAATATATCATTTTGAAGATTATGAATTTTGAAAATTTTAGGTCAAAAACGTTCCTAAAAGGGGCCTCTTATATGCCCTCACATGCTCCCAAAAGATTTTGGATTAAAAAAAATTCATTAAAAACTAATAAAATAGGGATAAATCCCCCGAACTGTGATGGCGCGTGACATACATGGGTTGCCCTTGGGGCTCACTGTTGGATTGCTTTTGTTATGAGTTCAACCATATGTTTACATTGACCATTAGGCCTATGTATAGACCTCACACGCTCTCAAATGAAAAAGAGAGGAAAAAAATAAATATAAAATAATTAACAAAACTTTTTTGGCTTGTTAATTAATTAATTAGAAGGAAAGATTTTTTTTTTTTTTGGGGTCTGTCGATGTTGACCAGTCAACAGTTGACCACTGACCCCGTCAACTTGGACAGGAATCGGTCGGGTTGAGTGAAAGTAGCACTTCGGAGGTGTGTCTCAATATGACATGTCGTTTTGAGAAGCCTTGAGTCTCCTTCAACCTCTAGGCTTAGGTCCGGCGGTGGACTCACTAGTCTGCTGATGTTTTCTATCCATATCTCTCTTATCCAACCTCCGTTTAACACGATCCTAACCTTGTTAGATTTGTCTCTTCGCCCTCTACACAACCATACCCTTTTCGAAGCCTAAAACTCAGAATTTCAAAGCCACCATTGATGTGAGGATAAATGCCCCATTTGCTGAGATATCAATTAAAATATCAACATGATATAATCCTAATTTGGGTCAGCTCATAATAATTTGAATATTCCCCAAATAGTGTCATAATGGGTGTAATGTTCTTACATATTTAAACAAATTTCTGGCTTCGTAGTGTAGACAGTTTTGCTAATAATTTAGCGAATGATATCTAGCTGAATTTTGCTGAGTTCTCAATTTCTTAGTTATATCATTCAAATAAGGCGGGCTCGGTTTGACTATATGTGATAAGGTCTCTTAGCGTATGTTTAAATTGAGGATAATGGAGGAGGCGATAAGGAAAAGTCAAATCTTTATTTTGAGATTTTTTTTTAATTTAAATTTATATTTGATTTTTTTCCTTAAAAATATTTTGATTGTGGGGTGTGATTGAAGGGTGAAGAAAAAGTTTATTTAAATTCAAAGTAAATAACATTGTCATATTCTTCCCATATTCTTCCCCTCCATTCTTCTTCATCCTGATGTACCTTTTATCCAAAGTTCATGGAGTGACCATGTGAATAACATTCCGTCGTTGTATTTAAATAGTTATTTACAATTTGGCCTTTTAGTTACCATTTGTGCCAGAAAATGTTTGGTCTTAGCGTGTGCATAATTTGCTAAAATAATTTGTCATGCTAGTTTTAGGGTCGGGGTGGTTCTGCTGGTCAAATTCTATATATGATTGTGTATGATTGTCGAACCCACTTTCTTGTTCTCGTTATACTGGCTGGTATCATTATTGTCAATGTTTCATAATGTAAGTACTCAAAATACATGACAACCATATTTGGTTTGTCTATTATATGTTGGCAGGCTCTTGTAGATGCCCCTGATGTGGTGAGATCTCAAATGAACTTCAAGAGACTCTCACTAACTGACATTAAGATTGATATCAAGAGGGTCCCTAAGAAGAGGGATCTCCTCCAAGCCATGGAGGCTGCTGGTGGTTACAGATAATCTTGAAGAAATCCTTGTTACACAATAATGGAAAGGAATTCCTCATGATACTCTATTTTGTGTATCTCTTAGTAGATGTTAAAAAGAAGTGGGAGAATAGCTCGTGGGGTAGGAAACTGATTGTCCAAAAGAGAAGAGCCTCACTCACTGATTTTGACAGGTTCAAGTTAATGTTGGCGAAGATCAAGGTTAGTTTTAATATACTTGCGCAGACAATTTTGCAATTCTGAAGCACAATTTTGAAACCTCGCGGATCATATCAAATAATTGTTAGCTTGCTGAGACAGTCCAAGATACACGTATCTCAAGATTCTCTCTAATATGTGCAGAGGGCAGGTGCTGTGAGGCAAGAGCTCGCCAAGCTGAAGAAAAATGCATCTTAAGAATGCTTCATATGAAGTATTCAAATTTTGTCATGAATTTCTGTGAGTAGTACACCTCAGTGATGAATTAATATGTTTTGAAGAAGCCTCCTGTGGGAAGAAACCTAGTCTAATAACTTATTATTATTGTACTTTTGCTTTAGTTTGTAAGAAGCCTACATTTTTTAGTACATGAAGGGCAGTATTACGCCACCCTTGAAGGGCAGTCATGCACCATTTTTTAATACACGAAGGGCAATATTACATTACCTTTGACTTTAGAGTGTCCATTACTCTTTAAAAAAAAAAAAAAGGTTTGGGGCAAATTGGCACTTTAACCCTATTGCTTTTAATGGAGTTAATGATGGTGGTGTAAGAGTTTTTATGATTTAAATTTGCCTGGTTGATTTGATGAAGTAAAGCTACAATTTAATTGAGAAAATCGTGTTTTATGAATATGTTTATTGGAAATTGGAAATTATATTAAAGATTAATCAGTTTAGTTTGTTGATGTAGGTTGAAATTCACAAAGTATATATTTAAGGTAAAACTCAGTGTAGAATATTAAGAATTTGGACTGTTTTGGGTTGTAGATGTTAATTGCAGATTTTAACGGGCTGTTTTAGATTGGAGAATGATTGAGGTTGAGTTGTACAGGAGAATTGGGAAGTTAAAAAGAAGTATAAAATTTAGGAAAAATCACTGAGGTCCCAAATAAGCATTCAAAATACTCAAAATCCCACAAAATTACTAAATAGTTGTCAGGTTTCAAAGGACTAGAGAGTGAATAAGTTTAAAAATATAATTATCAATTTGTCCTCTAAAATTAGAAGGAAATTTATCGCACACATCTCACAATCCATGATCAACAATCAATTTAGAAGATTGTCGCATATTTATGATTGCTCAATATCCATGATTATTGATTAAGATAGGGTAATTTTCACTTCCTCATGCTCATGATTACTGCCTTTGTCTTCATCTAAGTGAGTTGGGAGCCTATCGTTTGCGACTATAGGATTTTATCAAGAGAAAAGGTGATTGCTGAATTGGTAAATGACTCTTGTGCATTAATGATTTCATTATTGTTTAGGGTAAAATAATGACTTCATGGGTGTTCATTTATTTTGCATAGCTAATAGGTATAGAAGAATCCAATGCAAAATTGATTTGTTAAAAAATCTCTAATATAAAATAACACTATATGTTGTCAATAGTGTATTTTTATGTTGTTATTATGTTATTAGTAGTTGTCAATACATTGTGTTGTATAGGTTGACTTATAAGATGGCAGGTTCTTTTGAAAAAACATATATTATGTTTTTTTTTTATATAGGAGACATTTTATAAATGATGCCCAAGCATATGATGCAAGATTAATTTGTTGAAAAATCTATGTTATGAAATAACATTATATGTTATTAATAGTGTCTGCTTGTATTGTCATTGTATTATGGGTAATTGTTGTTCATACACTGTGTTATGTAAGTTCATTTGTAAGATGGCAAGTTCTTTTAAAAAACATATATTATATTATGTTTTTTCATATATGGGGACATTTTATAGATGATGTCTAAGCATCTGGTGCAAGATTGATTTGTTGAAAAATATCTATTATGAAATAACATTATGTGTTGTCAATAGTTTATGTGTGTGTGTTGTCATTATACTATGGGTAGTTGTCAATATATTGTGTGTGGTGTAAGTTGATTTATAAGATGGCAAGTTCTTTTGGAAAACATATATTATGTTTTTTTTTCCACAAAAGGGAACATTTTCTAAGTGATGACTAAGAAAGTATGCATTATGTGGAAGGGGAGTGAATGAACAAGAACAATAACAAAAAGCACAACTTATGAAAAGTTGACAAGAAAGATATTATTGTAACACCCTAAATTTTTTTTTTCAAAATAATTTAACTCAACCATGGTAGAAAAGTGTCTACCATGGTAAACAAAAGTCAACTTATCCTTTTTTTTTTAAACAATTCTGTAATTTAAAACACTACCATGGTAAGAAATGATAAAACATAGCCTTATAAAATACTTCACCTTTTAAATTAACTACTATGGTAAAAAAGATTAAACCTCTTTTCAAATAACACAACAATTTTGTACAATTAATACACATTTATAACCATAATTAGGTTACAGCTACCCAACCCATTTTATATTAATAAATTCAATATAAAAATATTTTATAATTCTTAAGCTTGCACAATACAACATCTCAGATAAATTTTTACCTCCCACATGCTGTGAGGCTAAAATCACATTTTTCATCCTTATACTCCCAACAAGTGCAAACCATAGACCAATAACTAAAATAAACAACTTAATCAATTTCCAAAACAAGCCTATTATTTGGCCTCATAATCATGCCATTTCAAACTATTCAAAATAAATCAAAGATTAAAGTTACAGTCATCCAAAGTATATCAAAAATAAAAATAATTTGAAGGGCATGATTATACCATTACATTCATATAATTGTCAATAAATAAAAGCCCAAGTATTGATAATATAACACATTAAAAATCATAAATCAAATACCTAAAAAAGGTAGTAGATCTATGCCGTTAAGTTTCAGGGACTCCTCCACGTGTCACTAGTGGCTCTTCTCCTAAAAATTATTAACCACATAATGAGACTCAAAAGTCCTATTAACCAAGACTAATTTATGATAATGTATACAAACAGTTAAATGTGTGCTTGCTAAGTGGGGAAACAACAATAATATAATTTCAACAAAATACAAGAAACATTACAATGTATAACAAACAACCGTCCTTATCTCCCTCTATTAACTTTGAGCCATAACCCTCACTCCGTGCTAAATTATTCGGCCAAAGGTAGATTAGCCCAAGCCCTTACTGTTGGATAGGGAAGTGCAGTGGAAGATTAAAATTTTAAAGTCCTTATTATAATATGGACCGAACGAACTCGTTTAAGTTAAAGTAGATAGAAGAGTTACCTTTAATTCTTTGAAGTTGGTGCATGTTTGGATCTCAGGAGCTAACAACGTAGATTTGCTCCCTCTACAGGTATTCACACGAACAGCTCTTTAACTCGAACAGCGTGCAAGCGCTCTCAGCATACGTTCTTCTTTGAACGTTAATTTTTCTTTCTATAAGGTGTTTTGTGGCTTTCAGAGTGTTTTTGTTGTCAGAACTTTTCTAACTCTCTTTACCTTCATAAGGACGTACCTATCTATATATAGTATATATATAAGGGTTTTTATCTTCCACTTAAAAGCTCACAAAAATTTAATTAAATTTATCTCATAAATTTAATCCATAATATTATATCTAATTTGAAGTTATCTTATAATTTAAATTATCAAACTGACATGATATTCTCTCTTATCATGTCAGTTATTAAATTTAATCTATTATATAAAATTAAATTTAAAACTAACATAATATAATACAATATAATATATATTACATATAGATATTATATTATATATACACACATATATATGTCAAAAATATCTATATATATATATATATTATATTATATTATCTATATTTAATTTTATATATCATATATAATTATCACACACACACACACACATATATATATATATCTGATATACACACACACATATATATGGATATAATATATATATATATATATAATTATATTTTATATTTTATATTTCACATAAATATATACATATAAATACTTATCAAATAAATATTCAAATATATATATATATATATAATTCATTCACCCTATACTACATTCATTGAATCTAGCTATATTCCAGATTTAATAAACTTGAACATTATAACTCGAGTTGAGCTATTCTTATGTGCGATCCTGTAGGCCCATATGAAATTGGCAGTAGGTTAATTACACTATTAGCCCACAAGTCACAAGTTGTCTCTAGCAAGACATTGTAACTACCCAATTCATATCAAGATCGATGATCCGACGTAACTTGTCATGCAACCATATCACATTTCTTTTATCACATGATATTTTGGTCAAGCATGAGATATAAAATTGTCATCCTCCTTTACCTGACCGTTACTTTCTCGATCTCTGAGTAAACTAATAGTAGCAATGGAAAAATCATTTTTATTGTAGTATGGCCATATATTTTCTCAGTCTTAATCAACGAGAGGCCAGTAATATCTCTTACTTAATGTGAGGAACAAATTTCATCTTGACCACTTATATTCCTTTGCATAAATATCACTAAACTCAATTATAGCCTTTATGATCACCAGGTCAAAGATGACTTTTGACTAGGTCAAAGTTCAGTGGTCATCATGTAGGAATCCATAATGATCTCATGTCAAAGGGCTTAGTGATATAGTTACATATGAGATAAGTTTATGACTTATACCATACAGCTTTCTCATAGCGGGTCAGTCCAGCACCTTGTACTTTTTCAAGTGCCTATGACTTTAATTTGTATCTCTATAATTAATCAAAGTCATACTAGTCTTGTTTCATCTATGATCCTCAAAGATGACTGACCAAGGACATTTAAAACAATGACTATAGTTTGTTCAGGGATATAATTATCATATTAAACATGCAATTGTTATAATAACAAAAGAAAAATTCATTAAATAAAAATGTGTATAGTATAATGATTAGCCTTAGGGTACAATTTCTAACACTTACAAGCCACCTATTGGGCTCCAATAAGGGCGTACCACGTGGCACATAAATACAATAATAACAAGTCTCCCAATACCTCCCACAATAATCAACCAAATTCATAATAATATTTTACAAGTATACAATATTGAAATTTTTTCATTTTCAACAATATTACAATATGACATCCTACTTAGTAAAAATACTTCAAAATGCATATCCATAATTTCACAATTTTTTTCATAAACATAACAAGGTAATTTCTCAACAAGACTTCATAATTTTCTCAATAATCATCCAATTAACATGAAACAACACTAATCACAAATTAAAAGCATGGTTATCTCGTAATTTTTTAATAAATTATTCCTTAAAATTTCTCTCCCACCACAATCTTCACCAACAACACAATCTATAAATAACATATTATTTATAAATATTATTTTTAATTAGTGAAACTAATAAAATAATTTTAATAATAGAATTAGAAAATATACCATAATTCCTAATCTCAACTTTAATACAAACTTAGAGTTAGTATTATTAAGTAAAATTTCTAACTTCTCTTTTAGTCATCAATAAATATTAATAAGCTAAAATCAACCTCTAAACCAATTTCTATTATCAAAATTTTTCTTTTTATTTTATAAATT